TTTCTTTATATATCTATGCAAAAGTGCATCATGACTTTCCTGACAACCCAATAGATTCTTGGAGAATTTCAGAGTAGACTATCATGTCATCTGCAAATAGGGAGGGTCTTATTTTTTTTACTTTCCAAACTGTATGCTTTTTATTTTCCTTGCCTTAATGTGTGGCTTTGAACTTTCAGTATTGCATTAAATAAGTGATGAGAGAGAATATCCTTGTTTTGTTTGCAATCTAGGGGTTAGGTATTCAGTCTTTCACCATTAAGTACATTAGGTTTTTTTTAGATATTCTTTATTAAGTTTAGTAAATTCTCCTCTATTCTTAGTTTCCCTCTATTCTCAGCTTGCTAAGAATTTTTAATCATGAATGGATTTATCATGTTGGATTTTGTCAGATGCTTTTTCTGCATTGATTAATATGATCATATTATTTTTTCCTTTAGCTCGTTGCTATAGTATTGGGTTGTCAGAAAAGTCATGTGATATTTTTTTCTGTGTAAAAATGTGTCATGACTTTTCCGGCAACCCGGGAGATTACGTTGACTTGTGAATATTTCACCAGCCTTGCATACTGAGAGTAAATTCTACTTGGTCATGTTACAGAAGTATGTTATACACTTTTGGATTTGTTTTGCTGATATTTTGCTGAAGGTTTTTGCTTTCAAATTCATAGGAAATAGTCTGTAGTTTTTGTTTGTTTTGTACTATGTTTGTTTAGTTTTGATAAATCAGTAACACTGGCTTCTTCAAATGAATTGGGAAGTCTTCTGGAAATGACTGTAAATTGGTGTTGATTTTTCTTTGCTAAACTTTTCCACTGAAATCACCTGGGCATAAAGATTTCTTTTGGAAGTTGTTATGTATGAATTCAGTTAGTTTTAACAGTACTATTCAGATTCTATTTCATTCTAGCTTAATTATTGTATTATAGTTTATGATATTTGAAGAATTAGTCTAATTGAAATTGTTGGATTAAGTTGTTCTCGGTATCTTTTTTTTTTTTTTAGAATTATTAGTTTAATTCCTTTTGCTATTATTATTATTTTAAAATTTGACCAGAAAGGAACGGTGAGAGGAAGTGAAAGCAAGTCCTGCCAGGTCCAGGACTCCAAACTGCACTTGGCCGCGTGGAAGTTCAGTGTCTTAACTACCATGCCACCTGCTAGCCCCTGTTCTCAGTATTTTCTTACTGTCCTTTCTGTGGTTGTGGATTTGTTGTAATGTCTCCTGTTTTATTCTTGATATCTGTGCTTCGTATCTTCTCTCTTTTTATGTTTGGCAGTCTTGCTAGAAGCTTGTCAATTCTGTTCACTTTTTTTGAAGAACAAGCTTTTTTTTTTTATTAACTTTCTCCATTGTTTTCTGTTTTCTATTTTATTGATTTCTGCCATTTATTATTTCTTTATGTCTCCTTGCTTTGGGTTTAATTTGCTCTTCTTTTTGTAGGTTCCTGAGGTCAGAATTTTAGTTACTGATTTGAGTTCTTTTCTTTTTTCTAATGTAATGCTGTAGTATTCTCTCTTAATAATGCTTTAGCTATATCCACTTTTTTTTGAGAGATTTTTGCTATAGGGTACGTGCTCTTGCTGGAGAGACAGACAGAAAGACAGAAAGCGAGAAATCACCCCCCAGGGGCCATGGCCATGTGGCAGTCCCTTCTCCTCCAGTCTCCTCTTGGGATTCTGGGCATGCACACATGCATATGCACCTGTCATGAGTTTCAAGCTGCCAGGTTCAGAACTCAAACCATGGTCAACCACATGGGAGTATAGTGCCCCAGCCACTGTGCCACCTGCTGGGCCCTATCCCACATGCTTTAACATGTTGTATTTTCATTTTAATTCAGTGCTATGTACTTTTTTTTAAGACTGTTTTGCTTAATTTTGATGTATTTGGAGACTTTTTTTCTGTTTGATTTCTAGTGTGATTCTGTAGGATCAGAGAACATACTCTATTATTTCATTTGTAAAGATTGTTTTTAGGCATAGGCACATTTTGAAAACACTACATTTTGGGGTGTGCAGGTGACATAGTGTCTTTTTTATTTAGAATTTTTTTTTAGAGAGAGATTTTTTTTTTCTTTTTTTGGAGAGTTTTTTTGTTTTGTTTTGTTTTGTTTTTCTGCTGTAGGGCGCGTGCGCTCACTAGAAAGACAGAGAGAGATATAGAGACAGAAAGCGAGAAATCACCCCCCAGGGAGGATGGCCATGCCACAATCCCTTCTCCTCCATTCTCCTCTCGGGCTCTTGGGCACACACGCACATGTGCTCAGCATGAGTTTAAGCCACTGGGTCTGGGACTCAAACTGCGATCTACTACATGGGAGTCCAGCGACATAGCCATTATGCTAACTACTGGTCCCTAGAAAGAGATTTTTGCTGTAGGGTGTGTGCACACACTGGAGAGACAGAGTGACAGAAAGACAGAAAGTGAGAAATCACCCTCAGGAGGGATGGCAATGCCACAATCCCTTCTCCTTCATTTTCTTAAGATTTGGGGCACAAATACACACATGCCTGACATGAGTTTCAAGCTACTAGGACCGGGACTCAAACTGTGGACAGCCATGTGGAAGTTCAGTGACATAATCATTACATCATCTGCTGGTCTCAACCTGGTGTGATTTTCAAGCCACTAGGGCTGGGACTTGAATGCAGTTGGCCATGTGGGAGTCCAGCAGCTTAACCACTTAACCACTATGCACCTGCTGGTCCCCCAAACACCAGTGTTTTAGGCACCTTAGAGCCCTGCCCAATTCCTGTTGCCTCAGCTTCCCTTAACGCCTCAGCTATAGCTCACATTGCTTGTCTTCCACAGCCAGAGAAAAGAGACCTAGGCAGGGTGAGCAGATGCTAGAGGTTGCCTTCCAAGGGTCCCTTTGTTGGTGACAGAACTGGACCTTGAGTGCCCCTGAGCCAACCTACCCATGCCAAAACCCTAGTTCATCCTCCCTATGGGTCCTTTGCCTTCCATGACCCTTGCTGTGACATGTGATGAACACACAATGAAGCTGAGGGAGGGGCAGACTGGGTGGTAACAAAGGAGTAGGCAGTGCAGGCCCTGTGTCCCTACACTTTCACCTCTTTCTAATGGGGTGGTAAATGAGGAGGGGCAACTCAGATGCCTAGGAAACTTAGGCCCAAATCTCGGAGACAGCACCAGGCTGTTGCCCCCCTCACCCAGGTCCGCCGGACGGCCTGTTCCCACTCTTGCAAACAGGCCAAGCGCATCGCCAAGAGCTATCAGGGCCGCCGCCGCCGCCGAAGAAATATTGTACACAAGGTTGCCAGCCAACCGCAAGCAGTTGACCCCTCATCTACTTCCTACAGGACCTACAAGAACAGTGAGGAGCTCCGGTCTCGTATTTTATCTGGAATCATCACGCCTATCCATGAGCAGTGGGACAAGGCTAGTGTGAGCAGTCCCCACCGGGAGGTCCCCCCTGCCACTGCCAGAGTGGACCCACTCCAGATTCCACCACACCACCCACATACCATCCGGCAGCCTCCCTGGTGAGTACAAAGCCCCACGAGGGCAGCCCACACTTCTCAGAGGGATTCAGCTATCCATCTTGCCACTTGACCCCTCCCTGGTCTCATGACTTTGACAAAACTGTCAGAGACTTGTTATATGGAGGGAGAAAAATGGAGACACAGGTGGAGTAGAGCGTTCTTGCAAAGCTGTTAGTTGCCCCAGCTACCCAGCATCTTAAGGCTGCCTGCCTCCTTTCTAGAGGCCACATCACCTCTGAGTCTGTCCAAAGGATGCTGCCCAGATGATTCACAGTTATTTTTCCAGCGCTCTTAATCTGTGCAGGGCCCTGGGCAAGGCTTTTTGGGAAAATGCAAAGACACAGAAGTACTTTCACAGAGAGGATGAAGTCCCAACGTCTTGCCCATTTCTTTTCATTTCATTGTAATCCCCTGACCTAACAATTTCAGAATCATTCCAAAACTGTGTGGGGTATGAGCAAGTCACATCCAGGGTCTTTGCAGATTAAGTTGGTAGCTTTGGGACTAGAGGCTACTGCCCTGAGAGAAGAGACAAGGACCAACCTTTGTCTCTAGCTGGGACAGCACTTCCTACCTTGGAATCCACAATGTGGTGGTAACGGTGGGGTTGGTGGGGTTAGGAGGAAGGGTTCACCATGGAACACATAATACACACTCCATAAATGTTAACCACCATTGTTATTTTGTTCTGGCTTGCATTATGTACCCTGGGTTAATTAAAGTGGGAAATCTAATTATTAAAAGTAAAAATTGACAAGTCTGTGAGGCAAAAATCTTTAAAAATATTGGGTCCTGTGGAAACAGTGGAGCAAAATAGAAAGTGGCTGGAAAGACTGGTTAGATCTGATCTAACTTCTTTATTTGACAGAAGGGATCAGAGGAAAGGTTCCCTACCTAAAGGTCACCAGCCACTAAAAAAGAGACAGAGCCAGGGTGTGCTTCCAGGTCTTCCCGCTCCCTACCCAGTGCCCTGGCTATGAGCTAGGCAGAATGTGGTGGCAATATTGAAGAGTAAGTCTTAGGCAGCAGTTAAGTTGGGGAAGACTTTTAGACCTGAAGTAAATAGTAATTGTCAGCTCTCTTAGAGCCACTGCCCATTTCAAAACATATTTTGTGAAATATCCTTTACTATAATGAAATGGTATTCATAGATAACCTTACCTACCTAATGCTTACATCAAAAGAAATCAGTATAAAATTGTAATTACAATTTAAATTTAAAAATGAAGCAAAAATATGGGACCAGCAGATGGCAAAATGGTTACGTCGCTGGACTCCCACATAGCTGATCACAGTTTGAGTCCCGGACCTAATGGCTTGTTTTCTCAATTTCCTTTTCTCTCTCTCTCTCTCTCTCTCTCTGGTCAGATTAAAAAATAATAATAATAAATAAAATAAAAAGTTCTTAAAAAAAAAAAAAAAGAACCTAAGTGGCCCCTCAGCATCTAAATCTTTTTTTTTTGTAGAGGTTTTATCTTATAGGGTGCGTGTGCTTGCCAGAAAGACAGAGAGGAACAGAGAGACAAAAAGCGAGAAATCACCCTCCAGGGGGATAGCCACGCTGCAATCCCTTCTCCTCCATTTTCCTCTTGAGATTTTGGGCATGCACACACACACACACCCAGCATGAGTTTCAAGTCTTCAGGTCCAGGACTCAAACCATGGTCGACTATGTGGGAGTCCCACAACGTAACCATTACACCATCTGCTGGTACTGATAATATGTCTTTTGATCTTGAGGTGTCGGAGCACGTTTATACTGGGAAACACTGATATTCACAGCTGAATGTGTAATATCTTGAATCAGACAGTGACAAAAGCTGGCTTATACATGTATCAGCAACTCAAATACCACAAAACTGTGTTGCTTTCCTAACATGATCATGTATCAGCAACTCAAATACCACAAAACTGTGTTGCTTTCCTAACATGACTTTTCTGAAATGGGCAACAACTCTTAGAAGAATTGTGAACAGAATAATGGTCGGATGGTTTTTCTTCAGTTACACACAATTATGTTGTTTAAAAAATGTGTATGTATTAAGATAGCAGAAATAATACTTTTTGTTCATATATAAAGTATAAAATATTTACATATTTACTTAAATATTTATTGATATTATTGTTGTGTTATTATATTTATACAATTTATATCAT